GGGATTTGGGAAGTGTTGCAGGAAATATTGTACTTCCGAAACACTCCACTCGTATTGCGGTCAGTTGCCCGAAAAGGAACAAGGACGAAGCTCCCATTTATGCGGATGCTTTTCAGGTCGAGAGAAGACAAAGAAGGGATTTCGCAGCGGGGAAGAAATAACAGGATCACTTCTCTTGTTCGAATTTAGGGATTTCGTTCGATTTTTGTGCTCCAAATGTAACGGCACGTTTTTTTTCCTTTTGTCGATGGAAATAAAAGTGGGTTGCGTTTCCACAAAAGAGCGATGTTTCTTCGTTCCTCAATACTGCTGAACGCCGGTGTTGGACGATTTTTCAAACGAGAACCATTCAACGAAATTTCGACACAGTTCGTTGCTTCTTTTATAGTCTTTGCAATTGTTAATCCCACATTAGAAGACAGAGAAATAAATGTATTTTTTTTTAGCTAGCACAAGTGGATCAATCCGTCTGTAAATTCTAGTGAGATACTGTACTAAACCGTAAAATTAATTGTTTCTTACTTGCCCTTGAGATTAAATTTTTCTTCATCGGAGTATAACGAGCCCTTTTTCATTGGACCTGCAATTTTCGTCAGGATTTGCATAACGGTGTTAGAGCCATGTCAAAATACAGGTTAATAGAAAACGTGACTTCTTTTTTTGAAAGCTAGTCGAGGGAACTGGGTTCAAGTTCAAAATAGTTCTTATGACTTCCGTTTAGCCTTATTTTAACTAGTTAGGTACGCCTTGAAGCTTTTTGAACTAAGAAATTTTTTTTTTTTAATGCAGGGTTAACATCAATTGGTTTTGCAGTTCTCGGTAAATTGAATTGGCTCCATGAAAATGGATAAATAACTAATAACTCAGTTTGAATACTGGTTACTTCTCAGCGCTGACAATTTTGATTTTCGATGCTCGAATTCAATTGCATTCGCTTTGATTTTCTTCTATGATTTATCTTCGTGATCCATGGATAATGCGCATTATAATTTTGAAAAATTCGAGGGAATAGATCGTATTTGAGTCTGATATCATTTTTTGGGGGCAACAAGTGCACAGGGTACTCAAGTATAGAGGGGTAACGAATCCCAAAAAGTAAAATTTCGCAATTAGAATTGTGGGCTCTGAGAAGCCGAATTATTATTTTTGCATGAAATTGAGACGGAAAAAGCGCGAATTTTATTGCAATGAATGCAGCTTTTATATTATAAGGGACTCTGACTCTTTGAAAAAATTTGCAGCTTTTTCTGAAATAATCCACTCACTTGGTCGACACATCCAAGCTGGCGGAGTCGCCGCGCTCCTCGGCGACCATCGACAGCCGCTTACTGCCGCCGTTCTGGCTGCCATTGCCGCCACCGCTGCTGCTGCTGCTGCTGCCTACGATTCCGGCGGCTGCGCCACCACCACCCGGGGTAAGCAGATGGCTCGCCCGTGGCGGCGACATCCGCTGCTGCTGCTCCCCTCCGCCGCCACCGTCGGGCATCATGCAGGGGGCGCTCGTGTCTCCGGACACACTGGACGAAGAGCTGTTGTAGCCCGAGGATTCCCCGTGGCTGCCGCAGGCTTGGTGGTGCGGTCCGAACAAGTCCGCCGCGACGCCCTTCTTGATCCGCAGGTCCAACTTGGCGGCAGACTTGAGGAAGTGGACGGCCTGCGTTCACGGGGCGGAAACGGGCATCAGGAATTAGATTTTTTAGTTTTAATTACCATTATTTTCAGTGCCGGTTTCATTTTC